GCTAATGCACATCCCCAGCTATTTTTCAGTTTTTTAAACTTCTGAGATAGGATCTTGGTAAATTTTTCAGGCTGGTCTCTAATTTGCCTCAGCCTCTCAAATAGCAGAGATTACAGATGTACACCACCCACACCACCCTCAATATTTGGCTTTTGTTTTTTGAGTTCGGGCTGGTTTAGAACTTGAGGCCATCCTCCTGCCTCAGCCTTCTGAGAGCTAGGATTATAGGCATGCAGCACCACACCTGGCAGACTCAACATTTTTCACAATTTTTTAAAAACTCTGTTTTTTGCAACAGGGTCTTACTACATAGTTCAGGCTGGCTTTGAACTTACTACATAGCCCAGGCTGGACACAAACTCATGGCAATCCTCCTGCCTCAGCCTCCTGAGTGCTGGGATTACAGACATGCACCACCATGCCCAGCTTTTTTTTGTTTTGTTTTGTTTTGTTTTGTATTTTGGCACCAGGGATCAGACTAGGGACCTTGAGTTTAAAAGACAGGCGTGATGCTCAGCTAAATCCCTGGCCCTTAGTTTTGTTTTTTTTTAAGTATATACATTTTGATTTAGCATTGCCACTTGTAAGAATTCATCTTAAACCAGGTGTAGGGGTGCATGCCTGTCATCCCAGAACTTGAGAGGCTGAGGCAGGAGGATTACTGAGAGGTCACGATTAGCATGATCTCCATAGTGAGTTCAAGGCCAGCTTGAATTACATAGTGACTCCATCTCAGGAAAAAAAAAAAAAAAAATCCATCTTTTTTTTTGTTTGTTTTTGGTTTTTTGAGACAAGGTCTCACTATGTAGTTGAGACTGACCTGAAACTCACTATGTAGCCCAGGCTGGTCTCAAACTCACAGTGATCCTCCTGCCTCGGCCTCCCGAGTGCTGGGATTACAGGCGTGCGCCACCACACCCAGCCAACATGACAATTTTAATGTCATAGTTGGTAGCTCCTAACGGTTCTCTCCTCCTCCCCCCACCACCTCTGGTGCCAGGGATTGAACCCAGGGCACTGTGCATGCTAGGCAAGCACTTTACCTCAACTGTACATTTTAATCACCAAATAACATAAAATATGACACACAGAATATTGCTTTCTAACCTTTTGCAAGCAGTGGCACACGCAGAAGGTGCAGAGATTTTTAGCAAACACTCAGGCGGTCTGCTAAGAGGCCGGCAACAGAGTGCAACTGCCCCACACACTCCCTGACTACTCCCAGGGATGAGGTGAACAGTTTCTTGATTGTTCTGTGATTTAGTAAAAAACCTGGATTCAGATATCACTGAAGTTCAGTCAAGGATATTTTCATCTTTATTGTGACCTTCTAGAGTTACAATAGCAAAATTCTGAAAACATAAATTAATCTAAAGCAGGTGAAATCTCAGACATTCAATTTAAAATCAGCTTTTTAGGCTGGATGTGGTGTTGCACACCTATAATCCCAGCACTCTGGAGGCTGAGACAGAAGGATTGCCACAAGTTTGATGCCAGCTTGGGCTACACAGTGAGTTCAAGGCCAGCCTGAACTACAGAGAATGAACCTGTCTCAAAATTAAACTGAAAAACAAATTAGCTTTTTAATAGCTTATTGGCTTAGAAAGTCAGGAATGTTATTTATATTTATCTTCATAAATGACAATAATCTACATTTTGTTTTTCTGCCATTACATAAGATGAAGTTCTTAATTTTTCTTTATAAAATTTTTTTCTTAATCAAAATTTTATTTAGCTTTGAAAATAAACTGGCAAGCTTCCTTTAAGGATTATCTGTGTCCTGAAGTTTCTAGGTTAAAGTGTTTTCTTCTGGGCATGTTAATAAACTCCTGTAATTTTAGCACTCTGGGAGGCTGAGGCAGGAAGATTGCAAGTCTGAGCCCAGCTGGTACAACTCAGTGAGAACCTATCCCACCATAAAAAAAAAAAAAAAATTTTTTAAAGGCTGGGGACATAGCCCACTTTGAGACCTTGAGTTCCGTTTCCACGACCATCACAAATATTTTTTGTTCTTCTTTCCCAGTTTTGTTTTGTGGTGCTGGGGATCATGAATGTTGATAAGCACTCTGCCACTGAGGTACATTCTTATGTCCTAAAACGTTTTGTTTAAAGGGAAAGAGTTTTGATGAACTTTTATGTTCTTCCATAATCACTGATGGATTTACCCATTCCACATCTTGAACCCATTTGATATTTTTGTAAAAATCTGTTCTCTAGCTTTTCAAATATATTAAAGTCATACATAATAAATTATCTTTTTAAAAGTCTTCATCTTCTTCCTATTCATCTCACTTGGTACCAGTATCAAACTCAGGACCTTGCACTCACAAAACAGGCACAGTGCCACTGAGCTACATCCCCAGGCCTGTTACTTTTCGAGATAAGGTCTCACTATATAGTCCAGGCTAGCCTCAAACTTGAAGTGATTGTCCTGCCTCAGCCTCCCAAGTGCTGGGATTACAGGTGTGTGCCATACCTGGCTCTTAGTCACATTTTTTAGATAACATTTATAAATTCTCTATCCTATTGTATTGTTAAATAACCTTCATATTGTTAATATTTTATTTTTTTAATAATCTTTTCTTGGTGGGATTTTATTTTCTGCAAAAAGAAGTGACAAAATTTGAAAAATTAGAGTGAGGGAGAAACTGGCTCTACAGAGAGAGCTTGAGCCAAGTAAAGGGAAAAAGCAAGACAAAAGTATACTCTAGAGGACAAAGGGTAGCTATGATGAGGAAAAGCCAAGATAACTTTTTTTTTTGGTGTTTTGAGACAGCATCTCATTACGTGTAGCTTAGGCTGGCTTTGAACTCACTATGGAGCCTAGGCTGACCTTGAACTGAAAGCCATTCTCCTGCCTCAGCCACCTGAGTTCTGGATTATAGTAACCTTTTGATTTTTAATCATGCTTACTGCTAATTTAGTTTATTTCTTTTCTGTTAGAGTAATTAATCTTTCATTCAATATGCTCAGTATGACTGGGAATGACTAGGTGCTAGAGATCTATGTTTGGTGATGAAGCCCCTACCTTTAATTCTTGGATTCTTGTAAGAGTACAGCTTTGGTTACAATGAACTGGTTTTTTGTTTTTCTTTTTTTCCTGGTACTGGGGATTGCACTTGGGACCTTGTTCTTGCAAGGCAGGTGTAAAGCCACTGAACTAAACCCCTGGCTGAATTGGTTAATATGTAGAATTTACTGTTGTTCATTTCTAGTTTGTAGTTTGACGTTTTACAATTTTGAGACAGGATCTAAGTCGCCCAAGCTGGCTTTGAACTTGGTGATCATCCTACCTCAGCCTCCTGAATAGCTGGGATTAAGTGTGCACCATTGTGCCTGGCTATAATTTTAGTTTTAATTTCTTATTAAACTAAGTTAAACTGGGTGATGGTTTATTTTTAAATGGGTAGATTTTAGTTACTCTTAATTTCTAATTTTTTTTTTTTTTTTTTTTTTTTTTTTTTTGTACTGGGGATTGAACTCAGCACCTTGTGTTGCGAAGCAGGCACCGGAACCACTGAGCTAAATCCCCAGCCCGTAATTTCTAATTTTTTGAATGAAAGCTTTTTTTATTCCTTCTTTGATTTTTTGAGATGATCTCACTCTGTAGCTCAGGCTAGGCCTGAACTCACTGTGTAGTCCACACTGGCTTCAAACTTGAGGTGATCCTCCTGCCTCAGTCTCCTGAGTGGTGGGATTACAGGTGTCCACCACCACACTTAGCTGGATGAAGGCCTTTTTGTGATAATTATGGCCTTATTACTGTTTTTTGGAATTATAACACTGGTTATGAAGGCTTTTTAGACACTTGATATATTCATAAAGTCCTCCTTTCACATTAACTCAATAATAATATTGCTAATAAAATTGATGACACTAGCTAGTATTTATTGAGCACATATGTTTCAGATATATGTTTAAAGCTTTATAAAAAAAACATATGAGGGCCAGGGATTTAGCTCAGTGGTTCTGCCACCTGCCTTGCAAGTGCAGAGACTTGAGTTCAACCCCTCGTACAGGGAAAAAAAAAAAAAAAAAAGAAGTCTGGGGAATTAGCTGACTAGCACCAAGCCTGCCTGGCAAGCACAAGGTCCTGAGTTTGAGCCCAGGCACCAAAAAAAAAAAAATTGAATTGATTAGTCTTCATGAAAACTCTCTAGTAGGTAAACATAACTATCATCAATTGCCGGGTATGGTGGCACATGCCTGTAATGCCAGCACTCAGGAGGCTGAGGCAGGAGGATCACTGTGAGTTTGAGACCAGTCTGGGCTACATAGTGAGTTCCAGGTCAGTCTCAACTACATAGTGAGACCCTGTCTCAAAAAACCAAAACAAAACAAACAAAAAAAACTATCATCAATTAAAAATAAGTGAAAAAAATAAGTAAATGAGGGACAGAGAGATTGCAAAATTTCCCTAAGGCTAAATAGTCAACAATGGAAAAGAGAAGACAGTGCAGAGGATGGTCTGTACCATGAGAAAAAGCACATTCATTATTTATTTATTTATTGGTATGGGGATTGAACTCGGGACCTTGTGCTTGTGAAGTAGGTGACGGCACCACTGAGCTAAATGCTCGGCCCCACAATTTTATTTTTTGAGGCAAAGTCCTGATATGTTGCTCAGGCTGGTTTTGAACTGCTGGGCTCAAGTGAGCCTTCTGCCTCAGCTTCCCAAGTAGCTGGGACTACAAGTGCTAACCCTGCATAGGTCGCTTTCTGTTAGGAATTCTCAGAAATTTAGCATATTTTGAATGTTAACAGAAGGCTGTTCTGTTAATAACTTTTTAAAGCATAGGTTTTCTGATGCTTGCTAAGCAGTAAGAGAGACACGAACACCCACATTTATTGAATTTTCTTCTGGTATGAGTTTTCTAATGTTCCACAATAGAAGTGACGAATAAAGGTTTTCTGACATTAATTATACCGATAATGACCTCATACCGAGACAGGTGTGAGCTCACACAGACGCTTTCTCTGTCGCCCACATCTGAGGCTTGCTAACTGGTATGGATTCTGTAGTGCTCAATGAGCTGAGAGCCAAGGACAAAAGCCTGCCCACACTCCCTGCATTCATAAGGCTTGATCCCAGGATGGATTCTCTGATGTTCAGTAAGCTGTGAACTGCGGATGAAGGCCATCCCACATTCCCTACATGCGTAAGGCTTCTCACAGGTGTGAATCCGCTGATGGTGGGTCAGCTGTGAAACGCGAATAAAAGCTTTCCCACATTCCTTGCACTCGTAAGGCTTGTCTCCCGTGTGAATCCTCTGATGCTGAATGAGGTATGAACTGCGGCTAAAGGCCTTCCCGCAGTCCTTGCATTCATAGGGTCTGTCACCAGTATGAACTCTCTGGTGTCGAGTAAGCTGTGCGTGCTGTCTAAAGGCCTTCCCGCACTCCTTACATTCATAGGGCTTCTCCCCGGAATGGATTCTCTGATGCCGAGTCACTTCTGAGCTGTGAATGAAGCCCTTTCCACAGTCCTTACACTCATAGGGCTTCTCCCCAGTGTGGATTCGCTGATGGACGGTCAGCTGCGAGTGCTGTCTAAAGGCCTTCCCGCAGTCTTTACACTGGTACGGCCTGGCACCTGTGTGAATTCTGCGATGAACAGTAAGTTGCGAGCCACGGATGAAAGCCTTCCCACAGTCTTTACACACGTAGGGCTTCTCACCTGTATGAGTTCTCTGATGCAGGATAAGCTGTGAATGCTGCCTGAAGGTCTTTCCACACTCTTTACATTCATAGGGTTTGACACCAGTATGAAGCCTCTGGTGCAGAATAAGTTCTGAGGTACGACCGAAGGCCTTCCCACATTCCTTACAGCCGTAAGGTTTCACACCTGTATGAATTCGCTGATGTTGAACAAGGTGTGAGGCACGGCTGAAGGCCTTCCCACATTCCTTACACTCAAAGGGCTTCTCACCAGTGTGAGTTTTCCGGTGCTGACTAAGGTGAGAGCCGCGGCTAAATGCTTTCCCACATTCACTACATTCCATCAGTTTCTCGCTGGCCCTGCTGGGCTGATGGGGAGTGAGGGATTTATGATCCTGGAAACGGGGTGCGTTTTCATAAATGATTTCCGCTTGTTTAAAATAACATTCCTGATTTACTTGTTGTCTTTCAAATTGGCCTTTGAATTCCCAGTCACCTCTAAAACTGGAGTCATCAAGATCACAGTTTTTAAGGCTTTCCATTACCTCCCAATGGAAAGACTTTATTTCAAAAATATCTTTTTGTGGAAATGTCTCATATCTGGTCTCTAAGCCTGAAAAATACAAGAAAAAGTAAACACAAGCTGTTTTCACAAAAAGAACTAGAATGTGTTATGTACAAAAAGCATTTCCTCACGATGAATGTAAGCATACGTACTGCAAACATGTACTAATAAAGATTTAAAAAAACTGTTCTCTTCTTTGAAAAATAAAAAATTCTAATTATTGATGTAGGACAGTACTGTATCATACCTCTATGAATGTAAAATATCTAGTACCTGCTTTATGATACATAGTAGGGACCGTGCTTTATCAGAGCTACATTTAATGATATTACTCTAGAATGTTCTCTTTCCAGATGATGATTAAGAGGCTAATAGAAAAAATGGTGCCAGGTACCACAGCAGCAACAGAACTTTGCTGTTGTCTGGATAGTATTCTTTTCTTTGTTTTTTTTTTTTTTTTTTAATGGAATGTGCTGAATGTCTATAATTTTGTTCAGATGACTGCAGAACCTGGAAAAGCTGTTCCTGCTATCGATGCATAACATACTATTATTAGTCTTTATATATATATATATAAAGACTATATATGTGTGTGTGTATGTGTGTGTATATATACATATATATACATACATA